TTCCCACCTATGAGTGAGAACATGTGGTGTTTGTCCTCAACACACACTGGCTCACCCACAGACCAAGAAAGGTCTCCAGTGACAATCCCAAGTGATATTTTAGTGAAGTTTAATTTCTTTCTCTCTTCTCATACACCAAAAAAACTGTACATCTCTTATTTGTACCCGTTTTGAAACAGTTATACTAGTCTTCTGGCACCAAGAGGAGATACTGCACTTAGGTTTATCTCTGATCTGAAACACAGTGCCTGGTATATAGTAGTCTCTCACTTAGTAAATTTCTACTGAATGAATAATGAAATCAATAAATAACTTAACGTCCAGCATGTACACATTCTCTATCTTATATTCTGTAGTGAAAATAAAATTTAAGAAGTACAAATCTAAAAGTCCCTGTAGCATTTCAGAGGGCAGTAAAGAAGAACAATGGCATTCTCCTATTGTCACATCCTGTTAGAATGCAAAAAATGGTTTGTAAAGTCACTTTCTTTTATATATTCATGGGATCTGACTTTCCTTCATGGTTGTCTTTGTGTTGTACTTTTACTCGGAATGAGCATTTTATGAAAAATGTTATTTAGTAAGGAAAACTTTAACAACTGGTATCTATAAGTAAGCATTTTTTGGAATAAGAGGCTCTTTGCAATGGTATGGAGGAATTCCAAAGTGCTTAGAAAAAGCAAAATTGTTCATGAATAGAACAACTCGAAAACCACAAGCAAAATAGTGCTACTCATATGGCATGATATGTTAACTATAAATCATGCCTACTGAATTGGTCAAAATGTATGAAATATCCAAAAGCTAGAACAAAGGAGAGATGGCAACAACTCTTAGAAAAGAAAGAACTTAAGTAATGAAAAGGTGACATTTTCCAATTTCAATTAAATGGCTTTACTAGATTCAAAGGGAGTTTAATAGGGCTTGGACAGAATTAAAGCATTACTATGAAAGGTCACAGATAGATAATTGATTTGAGTTTGTAATATAAGGTCACATTATTTAGGATCTCCATGGAGAAGAATGAAAGAAAGGCTAGTCCCTTCAATTGACTTTAGTGAGTTCAGCTGCAGTATTTTATTGTTGAAAGTTTCCTTAGAGAAAAAATATTTTCACTAACTCTAAGGAAACTTTCCCTAGTTTCCTAGTTTTCTAGTTTCTCTAGAAAAACTGGAGAAAGTTTCCTTAGAGTTAGTGAAAATATTCTTCTTAAAGGATGAATATGAAAGAAAAAAGTTTTATTTTAAATAATCAAAAGAAGATTCACGAATACAGGTACGTAATATACATACAAAGAAATCTTGTGAAATTCTGCAAAAGTGGAAAGATCTAGATGGGGAAAAACTATTTAAGAAGAGAGGACTTGACTAATAAAATAAATGAATAATGTAGGTAACTGATGGTTCTTAAGTACACTTGGTGGATGCGCTGTTCTGAATAGGAACAATGCACTCAATTTAGAACCAGAAGCACTGGGGGAAAAATACCCTGTCAGAAAAATACATGTACTTACCAAACTGGGTGCTATTTTTGACCTAAAAGCTACATATGTAGGTGTTTTAACAGGAGAAAAGAAGGTAATAATTAGTGTTTGCAGAGAAAAAACTTAAAGGAAAAAATAACTAAATGGAATATCAGAGCAATCTTCTCTAGAGTATGGATTTTAAGTTACTCAACAAATTTTAAGAAAATTAGTCAAAATCATGTGACTAATCTGTGAGTATTAGCCTGAACACAAAACATCACAGAAAATCCTGAACTGGTAATTAAATAAAGAAGATAACCATTTGAATAATTTTCCATTCTAGTTTCCTTGATCATGTGACTCATAGTAAAAATAAAAATAAGGGTCCCAAATATGCTTAATAGAAAGAAGATTAATATAGTACATAATTCTTACAACTTTTAGAATTTTACTTGATTGCATATCCTAGAAAATTGCTTCTTCAGGTGTATTTTCTTAAAGAGAAACAAATATACTTACTTTTGCTTGATTCTTTCCTTTTAGTTTCTTTTGGACTATAATTCCATTCTTTTGGCATGCTCTCAAGCAAACAATCAGGAACCATGTGCTTGTTTAGGTTTGTCTCACAGTTTCTCCTAGAGCTCATCACAGATACTATCTGCTGTACAGTGTCCTTGACGGCATCGGTCAGTGCCAGTCTCAAGCATCGAATGACCTCTAGCTCATACTCCACGCACGTTGAGACTTTAAAATCAGATGGCATATTATGGTTAGCAGAACCTAGCAAATCATTTGTGCCTTGCTCAACTAGAATTCAGTTTCATAATAATCTAGTTTAAAGCTATAGGAAAGGAGAGCTGCTTTTAACCAAGAAATCATATGATTGATAACCACTCCATAAAACATTTAAAAAAAAATTCTTCTTCTTTGTAATAAAAGAAATGGCAATTAAGATAACAGTACATAATATTTACTGGTACTCTTGGACTCTTCTGGTGAGAACATAAATTGTATGACCTTCCCTGATGACAACTTGGCTGACAATAATGTCAAAGCTTCAACATTTTACTTATCAGTTGACTCACATATTCCTTTCTGTAGGACTTTTCCTAAGAAATTTATTATAAATATGCAAAGGATATAGAAAAAATTAAAATCAATCAAAATATCCAATAATAGGTGATTTGTTTAATTAGCTCTGGTATTTCTGTCTACACAATAAAGCCAAATATTGTGTAGTAAAAATAAAGTAGGTTAGAAAAGAGTATGATATCCTATTTTTATTAAAAATATATATCTCCACACATATATAAAATAATTAAAAGATGTACTCTATAATGTTAATGGTGATTATCAATGATGGATGGAATTTCAGGTATATATTTTTCTTCCTTTTCTCTTCTTTCCTTTCTTCCTTCTTTCTTTACAAATGGTCAATCAATTCAGTGTTAGAATCTTACCAAGAGTTTTCTTATCAGCAAAATGTTAGAGCCGGTCCCTAGATTGCCAAGACACATAGCATAGGAAGAATAGAGTAATAGCCCTAAAACCCAGCTGCTAAAAACCCAAAATACTAATTCTTCATTATCAGCATAAATGAGAGAAGCAAGGGAAAGGATTGTTTAAAATGACAATAATTTTTATTAATGATTTTTATTATTGTAGTTTATTTCCACTTTTTATATTAAATTAACAAATGAAAACAAAGAAACATAAAATTCAGGTTAGAATCATATAACTTAAAGAATACCTGCTTCATTATCTAATTAATTTTCAAGTGTTTCAAATCACCATTAAAAATATAGACACTTTAGGAGGGGCCTCAGTGTCCTCATTTATAAAATGGTGAGGGGAGAGGGCGACAAGGGCTAGACAAGATATTTGTCAGTTTTCACCTTCCATGACTCTATTTAAGACTCCTAAGAAGAAAATAACAAATACGTCACAGCTGAGCACACACAAAGTTGAAAAGAACTGTGACTCTACTTCCTTTTACAACACAGTAATCAGGAGGCCTTAGAAAGGGCTGAATGAGGGTCCTAAATTGAGAATGTGCTTGAGGCTATGAGCAGCAATCCTAAGAATGATTTAAACCAGTTTTTGTATGTTCACTGAGCTACCAATTGCTTACCAACTTTTATCAGTATAATCTTTTATATTTTGGTAATAACAGATGTGGCAAGATTTCCAAAAAGAAACTTCATTACTTTTATGTTAAAATTTCTATAATTTAGAAGAATCAGAACAAAGGTAATTTAGTGAGAGTTTTTCAGGCTACTGTTAAGAAAGATGTTATATGCAATAAAGAATAACCTAATGTGGTTTTATAAAAGCAATGGAAATTACATCTGAATATGTTTCTAAGTAAAAAGGTTTGGTTTAAATAATTATTCTATTAATATATTTACCAACCAGAAGTCATTGGAAATGTCTCCAGATAAATTATAAGTAACTGGGGAGTCAAAAGTAACAAAACATCATTGAAAATCTTCTGCAAATACATTAGCATACTTTCCTGCTTTAGAAAATTAGTTTCTTTGATGCTTCATAACTTCAGGTGGAACATCTAAATTTAGAAATGTAAAAATTTAGACAAGCTCCGGTCTGATTTTCTCACTTTTTGAAAATAAGGACACTGATAAACCAGATAGGAAGTGATAGACCAGACAGTAAGTAGCAAGGCAAGGATGTATTCTCTAGTTAGCCAGTTCAAGCAGTGGTATACACAGGACTAGACGGGATGGCTTGGAGCAATCCACAATCTCTAAGTACATGCCATACCCAGCCACTCCTAATAAATGTAGCATCTAAGTCAGCAGCCAAGCTTCTGACTCCCTTTTCTACTTTTACTGCTGTAATTTATTTATTTATTTATTTGAGATAGAGTCTAGCTCTGTCAACAGGCTGGAGTTCAGTGGCAAATCTTGGCTCACTGCAACCTCTGCCTCCCGGGTTCAGGTGATTTTCCTGCCTCAGCCTCCTGAGTAGCTGGGATTACAGGCATGCGCCGCCACATCTGGCTAATTTTTGTATTTTTGGTAGAGATGGGGTTTCACCTTGTTGGCCAGATGGTCTCAATCACCTGACCTTGTGATCCCCACACCTGGGCCTCCCAAAGTGCTGGGATTACAGGTGTGAGCCACTGCGCCTGGCCTACCCGCTGTATTTAAACAGTCCTCTACAAAACTGCTGGGGCGCTTTAACCTGCCCTATTCTTATCTGAGACCAGTCCTCCATCTTCTGTAATTACTCTGCAATGCCCTAGAATTAGAGAAAATTTTACATATATCTAGAATTGTCCGCAGTCTATTTAGTAATATGTGAATCCCCAGTATCTCTGGCTTTAGATCCAAATTTCTTAAAATTTTAGAATTAGAAAGCCATTAATTTTAATGACGGCATTGGCCTCCTCAGGCGTGCTTTAAAAATAGACAAGTGTGGAGAAGCACTTCCAGAATGATAGTGTGAAGACCTGGGAAAGTCTGCACCTCCATTAAAGCTATCAGAACACTGGCGAAAATTGTGAAAATCAACTTTTGAGAACTCTGGAAATTAACCACAGGCTTGCAACAATCCAAGGAGTATTTATTCAAGAAAATCAGCTGAATCTTGGTAAAAAACAACGAGCTTTGTGGCATTTTAACCTGCTCTATTCCCAGCTCCCATTTCTCAGCAAGTTCTACTTGAACTACTATGGCCTTGAAATCAAGCAGCCTTGAAGCCATGGTAGTTATAAAAGCCAGCAGCCACTGGAAGAGGCAGAATGTGTTTTGACCTATCCACAACGTCCCAGTCTCCCAGATTGTCACTATTTGTCTTGCCCGGAATCTCCCTGGAAGAGCGCTGTCCACAATGCATATCCTTATTCAAACTAACTCAGTGACTGAAAATGTCTTATCCCCAGGATATTTCATCAAAACAGTCAGCAGCAATGGTTTAACTCTGTGGCTGCCTGAGGTAGTAATACTGGTTGTGGCAAACAAGAAGCTAATAAAAAAAGGAAAAGAAAAACTGAGTAATGAAATGTACATGTATATAGTGGGGAGAAATTTTGAATATCTCTGTGACACTCCTGGGGATCAAGAAAGACACAGACATGTACAGGACTGTGCACATACCCAAGAAAGCCCTGAGAAAGCCCTAATCTCTCACCTCTGACTAATCTGGACACTCTGTGCAAGCAGGGTGTAAAGACTAAGGAAGAGTTGCAAACTATGTGTGTGTTGGAACATGCTTTCAATTCTCTGGCAGTTTACAACAATTCTACTCCTAGGTATATATCCAAAAGATTTTTTGAACATTCACACAAAAACTTGTACACTATGTTCATACCAGCATTATTAATAACAGCCAAAAAGTGGAAACAACACAAATTCCCATCAACTGATGAATCAATAAGCAAAATGTATATTTTCATATAATGGATTATTATTCAACAATAAAAAGAAATGGAGTTCTGATGCATGCGACAACATGGATTAACCTTGAAAATATTATACTAAGTGAAAGAAACCAGACACAAAATGCACATACTGTATGATTCCATTTATACAGAACATCCAGAAAAGGCAAACTATAGAGACAGAAAGTAGATTAGTAGTTGTCAGGAACTGGGGAGGAACTGTTAATGGGTACAGGGTTTCTTTTTGAGGTGATTAAAATGGTCTAAAATTAAATGGTGCTGATGGCTGCACAGTTCTGTAAATCTACTAAAAACCACTGAACTGTGATATGTTTACACTTTAAAAGGGTGAAATTTATGGTATATAAATTATATCTCAATACATTTGCTATAAAAATGCAATTGCCTCTAAAAGGACACACACAAACATTTGTCATTGATATCATAATATGATTTAATTAGAGCAGGGGTCAGAAGACTTTTTCTGTAAGTAGCCACATAATAAATATTTTAAGCTGTATGACAGATGATCTTTGTTGCAACTAGTCATCTTTACTGTGGAAGCACAAAAGTATCCACAAATAATACGTAAGTAAATAAACATGGCAATTTCCAATAAAACTTTATTAAAATGGTGGGTTGGATTTGCTCCAAAGGCAATGGTTTACCAACTTCTAGTTTTAACATAAAC